GTCTGCATGCTCCGAATGAGCAAGCCAAGCATGCGGTTCGCCTTCCTGGTCACCTCGTCAACGTGCTGGGCAAAGGTGAGCTTACTGTCTAAAATCACTCCAAGGTCACGGATATGCTCACAACGCTCAAGTTGGTGACTGTCCAGAGTATACGAGTGTATGAATGGAGACTTTCTTAGAGTAAACGTGATGACCTTGCATTTGGATGGATTGAGTTTCAAGCGCCAGAATTTTGACCACTCGCAAAGGCGGTCCAAATCAGCCTGAAGAGAATCAATGTCTTTGTGATTTTTGACGCGGTGAAAAATCTTGACGTCATCAGCGTAGGCAAGACAACCATTGCTGATACATCTCGGAATATCTGCAACATAGCAGCTAAACAGAATCGGGCCCAAAATACTGCCTTCCGGCACCCCGGAGAGCACCGGCAGCCAGTCAGAGCGCTTCCCATCGATAATGACTCGCTGGGAGCGCTGGTGCAGGTAGGACTCAATCCAGCCAAGGGCGGGTCCAGTGATTTTAAAAGAGTGACGAAGTTTGTATAAAAGCAGCCTGTGGTTGACACTGGTAAAAGCGGATGAAAAGTCGGTGTAAATAGCGTCGGTTTGCAGTCCCTCAGACAGCGACCTCTGGCAGTGATCCATAAAACAAGCAAGGTTAGACACGCAAGAGCGGCGGGGAATGAAACCATGCTGAGAGTCAGGCAGTGCCGGGAGACAGGCGTGAAGCAAGCTTTCGCTCACCACCTTCTCTAAAATTTTTGAACAAATGGACAATAGCGAAACAGGTCGGTAATTCTCTGGAAGCTTTTTTGAACCCTTTTTGTGTACCGGAATGACGTGAGCCCGCTTCCATACGGTGGGGAAAACGCCAGAGGCCAGTGACATACGACAGATAATATCAAGAGGGATTGCAAATTCATCCGAACATTCAGCTAAAATACGAGCGCTGAGGCCATCAGGTCCACAGGCCTTGTGGGCACTCAACTCTCGAAGAAGGTGGGCGACGCGACCATCCGGTACAGAAAACTCCGACAGGCCAGGTGCGCCTAACTGATGGGCCTCCGGATATACATCTACGAGTGGGTCGCTGAACTTTTTAGAAAATGTAACATTTAAGCAGTTAGCCCGGTCCTCCGCGTCACTGACCACACGTCCGTTGAGCTCCAGCACTGGCGATACTCTTCCGCACGACTTTAGGGAGCGGATGAAGGTCCAAAACCGCTTGGAATTCTCGTTGAAGTCGCGGATAAGGCCGAGGAGGTAGTCCCGATAGCTCCTGGCTGCCTGCAGCTTGAATTCAGTTCTCGCCTGTGCGTGCCGCGCCACGTTTTCATCAGTTGGGTTGGCCTTCTTGCGCTTAAAGGCGCTCTCCTTAGCACGCAGGAGGTCGCGGACGGTTCGATCAAACCACGGAGGAAACTTGTTGCGCAGGGTGATCATTGGTACATAGTCATTAATATGTAGTGAAATTCATGATCATTTTAATGTCAAGCTACATTTGAAATGTATTGTTGCTCCCTTTTTTACCATGCATATTTTTGTGTCTTGTGAGGTCTCATATCAATATAGCAATAACAAGAGCAGTAACATGCATAGTTTGCTTGTGTTGTCATAACTTTGTACAATATTTCCAGCTTTATAATATACAGTTACCTCACATTGGGCATCACACATATATTTTTTCCTGCAGGAGGAAAGACACAGAGCCAACTAGTGACTCATGTTTGTGCTCCTATCACTTCACCCCTGGGGAATCAGTGCCTACACCCCTTGAGTAGAATGGTCACCGAGGGGTGCTGTCCTGACATGTTCACTTTCTGTTGAGAAGGTTAGAACAAATACCATGTGTGTCATTTAGTTGCATATATAATACCTGCATTAAGTCTGAAGTCTGTAGCCACCCTTAATCCTAGGTTGTTGTGGCCTTAATCTAGCCTGGGTGAATATCTTGCTGTACTTAAAGCACAGACTGCGCTACGCCCCGGCACGGCGGCCGGGGCGCCTCCCCTGGAAGAAAACGGCACCGGGGAGGGGGGACGGACGGCGAGGGGCCGGGGAAGGAGCGCGGCACCGTCACCCCACAAGCCGCCCGCAGCACCGCCGTTATTCTTGTGCCTCTTGGGCGCCGCCGATGCCCTGCGGTTGGGGAGCGCATCCCAGACGGGCGGGAGCCGGGAGGGCCGCCTGCGCCACCCGGCCGGCGAAGCAGCAGCCCGGCCAGGCGCGGCGGGCGGCTGGGTAGCGGCCGGACTGAGACGAGTCCCGAGTCGCTCCATGTCTGTCCCTTGCGAAACTAGTAGCGCCGCCGCCCAGCCTTGATGGGTCACTACGAGGAAAAGGCGAGCCCGCTCCCAGTACCTGGCGTGGAGCTCCCGCGCGGGTACGCCGCCTCACCGATGGCCCCTGGTCTTCTCTCTCTCTCTCTCTCTCTCTCTCTCTCTCTCTCTCTCTCTCTCTCTCTCTCTCTCTCTCTCTCTCTCTCTCTCTCTCTCTCTCTCTCTCCGTCCCCGTCCCCGTCCCCGTCCCCGTCCCCGTCCCCGTCCCCGTCCCCGTCCCCGTCCCCGTCCCCGTCCCCGTCCCCGTCCCCGTCCCCGTCCCCGTCCCCGTCCCCGTCCCCGTCCCCGTCCCCGTCCCCGTCCCCGTCCCCGTCCCCGTCCCTCTCTCTCTCTCTCTCTCTCTCTCTCTCTCTCTCTCTCTCTCTCTCTCTCTCTCTCTCTCTCTCTCTCTCTCCCCGACGCCAAAACCGGCTCACAGCGGCGTTCATGTCGGCCGGGGCGAAATGATTTGATGAATTATTTCATAAAGGCATTAACAGTGACAAAAGACAAAAGTTCAACAAATTCTACGCATGAATCATCCAGTAGGTACTGGCTTCGAGAACAGTTAAAATGAAGATGCACAAGAAATCGTAATTTCCCAATGACATGACATGGCTGTCGCAATGCTTAGCCGCAATCACCTCTTTTTGTTGTTTAAATGGTAAGTAGTTTTTGAAATTATCCGATAAAAATCTAAAATTGATACCATATGAAAGACCAATCAATTCTACACATGAATCAGGGTGTATCTTTGAGAAAAACTTGAAAGTTTAGGTGTGATAAGAAAAACAAATAAAAATGAACTATTTCCCCATAGACTTTACATTGGCTCCAAAATCGCATGGATCCAGAATTTCTGGAAGTGCCCTCGCCACAACTGCACGTGCGCTGCGCTCGAAAATGATCACGTGACCAAATCCAGATGAGATCACCGTATTTATAGTCACCGTGGTATTTAGGGCCTTGTACGTACCTATGTATGTATGTTTGTAACGCGTCAGTTCCCTTTGGCGGGCTATTGCTCCAGAACGGTGCGGGCTACGGGGTTGAAATTTTTGCGCCGAGTCGGGCGCGTGCAACCATTTGTCGTATTAAATTTTGGTAGGGGTGGGTTCGATGGTGTGCACGTGGCGGGCGCATCTTTGCGGCATTTTGGGCCGCGGCCGGCTCCGAACAGAGAGCACGCGCCGTAGGCTCAGTTTCTTCGCTTACAAAACTGAGCGAAATCAGAGCCGGCGGGTCACTGACCTTTGCCAATGAACACCGGCGCAGGCACCGCCGGCCAAGAGGAGACGCCAAATTTATTCTTGCAATAACTCAGCCGCTACTGGGCCGATTTTATTGAAAATTGATTTGTTACGCTGCGCGTAATGCTGTCCCTCTTTACGCTGCACGTAATTTGCCTATGTAAAAATCAAAACGTCTGTAGGTACGTATGTATGTATGTAACGCGTCAGTTCCCTTTGGCGGGCTGTTGCGAGGCGACGGTGGGGGTTGCAGGGGTGAAATTTTGGCGCCGAGTCGGACGCGTGCAACCATTTGTCGTATTAAATTTTGGTGGGGGTGCGCTCGGCGGTTTGCACGTGGTAGGTGCATCTTTGCGGCATTTTGGCCGCGGCCGGCGCCGGGCAGAGAGCACGCGGCTTAGGCTCAGTTTCTCCGCTTGCAAAACTGAGCGAAATCAGAGCCAGCAAGCCACTGACCTTTGGCAGTCACCTGATCCTTTTTTCCTGCTTTTCCCAACCCTACTCACGATTTTCATAAGCCTTGATTTATTCTTGAAACACTTTGCACAGAGGCGTTTGTAGTTATTTATTTACAAAAACTAATTCAATGATATTTGAAATAAAAACAATTTTACTAGCAACATCAAACAAAAGTTGAATTTATTCGCGTTTCATTAATTCAATCAGCTGGCAACCATCACCCATCGCCTTCGATGTAGTCGAACTCGGCGCACTCGGATAGTGTTCGAAATTTGTGACGCATACTTGTTGCTATGGCGACCGGGCAGTACCTACGGCCTACGCTTTTCATTCGTCAACAAGTGCTTGCGGAGTTGCCGCTCACACTTTTGAACACAGTCTCTATGCGTAAGTTTGTGTGACGCGTCATATCTGAAACATGTTTCGTGAGGCTCCAAAACCATTCAATTCATCTCCTTCAAAAGAGGTGTTTTGTAGCATTTTCGATATGTTTTTGGGCTTAATTGCTAGCTCCATTCATCCTATCTTGCGTGAGAATAGTCACCACTCGGGGACCAGTCGTTGAAATAAAACAACGACGAGGAGGTCTTGTAAAAAGTCGCAGCAATTGCATTGAACATTAAATGACGAAAATATTTTTTACCCCACCGCCTCAGGCGATCACGTGCCGTCACCCACCTGGGCAAAACCACGAGCGGAAACATTGCTGGAGGTCATTGACCTTTGACAATGAATACCGGCGCAGAGCACCGCTGGCCAAGAGGAGTCACCAAATTTATTCTTGCATTAACTCGGCTGCTACTGGGCCGAATACAATGAAACTTGATTTATTACGCTGCGCGTAATGTTACATAATGTAATGCTGTCCCTCTAGTATACTATAAAAGCTGGTCCGTCTGGCTGCTAAGACCGGTCTCCCCGGCCGCCCGACCGGGTGACAGGTGCGGCCGCTGGCGACACAGGCTCCGACCCACCTCGACCAGTGCCGTGAGCAGCCGAGCGGTCAGCTCTGCCGACAGGCCGGCGCGCCGCGACAGCTGGCCGGCCAACAGGTAGCCGGCGGCGCGCAGCTGCGTCAGAGGACTGCGCACGCAGCGCAGCACGTGCGGCGCCAGCAGCGCCACCTGACGTTCGGTGACAGTTTCGGTGCGCTGCAGCGCCAAGCACAGGACGCCGGCGAACAGCGCCACGGGCGCCTCCAGTGCGCCGGAGCGGCCACCGTGCACCTGGACAGGGGACAGGGGAGCCGGTCAGAGTTCAGCACACCCCACCGGCACCGGCTCGGCCACTCGGCGACACCACTGCTCCACACACAGCACCACGCACATAGCACAACACACACACACAGTCAGGCTGGTCAGGCAAACCATGCCCATCAGCCCTAACTAATCATCTTGTACCTAGGTAATCACCATTGACCATATAACAGTAAGCATTACATGGCATTACAAAGCTAAATCAGTTATTCATTTCTTTAACACAAATTGCCACAAATGAAATTAACGAAGTAGACCCTGTTTACTTCCGTCTTCATTCCAATTCACAAGAATCTATTCCTTGAATCACAAAAAAAATGTTATGTTGTTGCCCGTTATCATTGAACACTAACGGTTATTCGTTTGTTGGGGGTTAGGTGCGCACCGACTACAAGGTCAGTTTGCGCCCATACTAACAAACAATAACATTGCGTTTCACGAGTTTCAAGCCCCACCACCACGTTTCAACCCTGCTGCTCTGCAGCGTAGCAGGCTAGAAGCTTGCCCACCGATCTGACATGCGCCGTAGTCAAGTGTCTCAACCGAGGCGATCAAACAGATCGCTTCGGTTGAGACACTTGACTACGGCGGTAGACTACGTGCCTTGCAGCTTTTCTCAGTCAAAGGCAGACTGCTGAGGGCAGATCTTATTCAGTGCTGGAAGTTGTTTAATGGCAAGAGTTACCTAGATGTCCCTGACTTGTTTGAACGTCCTACACACAGCAGCACGCGAGGTCATTGCTACAGGATTTTCATTCCGACGTCTTACACCGATGTAAGGAGACGCTCCTTCAATGTGAGATGAATAGCTGCGTGGAATGCTTTGCCACAGCATGTTGTGACCGCAACTAACTTAGCTGGCTTCAAGAAGTTACTGGAGAATGCGCTGGGCGAGACTCTCTACGAATTCACTGACTGACGGTTGTGCAGTTTTCTAGACATACGCGCGTTACGGAGGCACCAATGATAAATATGTTGCGCTGTCGATATTATCATATGTTCGTGCTCAAGGAAGACGCCAAATTCCAACCACCATATTGCATGGTAATTACTAATTATCATGTGCGCCGTGTTTCTGTCTGGGCTGGCGCGTCTTTTGATCAGGGTTCCTAAATATCCTTTTTCCTAACCATGCTTTGGGCTCAGAACGGAAATGGGAACCCAGCCAGGTGAGCTGACCAGGTGAGTAGTGAGCTCCAAGAGGTTTGTTTGTGTGTTTATTGGAGCTTTAGGGCGCGCCGACTGCGGTCAATTTGCGCCCATAGGGGCTCCAAGAGACTGAAACAGGGCTCCGCTTTGACGAGCTGCGATTTATTGCCAACATATTCTTTTATGAAATTCGAATCCGAGGCGCTGCCTGGCATGTGGTCTTGCCACAGACACCTGCCACAGTCTCCTGGCACTACTTTTGAGCTTTTCTTGGCCTGCAGGCCCAGTAGGGCGAGGGTTGATTGGCTGCTGTAGAAAGATGGAAAACAAATTTTCAAAATATGTCCAATCATTTCCGATCATGCAATTGTATGTTAGGTAGCGACTAGCGTCTGCATTTTAGCCACCACCGGAGTAGCCTACCTGCTGCCAACACTGGAAAAGCTCTGGACAACACTGGACGTAGCGTTTCTGTTCTAATATACCTAAGTGGATTGGTCAGCTACAGGGTGTCCCATAAGTTCGTTCTCACCTAAATGGGGTCTCTTGCTTCACGACATGAGCAACATAACCCTCGCCCGTATTGGTGCTTTTCCAGCCGCGAACGTACAAGGGAGGGGGGGTCCAACGGACCCCCCTTGCCGTTTCGCCCCCTGATCAAGCTAGAGCTTCGAAAACGAGCATGTTGCCCGTGACGAGAGGAAGCCGATGATACCCAATTTTAAGGTCCTAGGTCAATGGTTGACCTTCCAGGTCAGGTCAATGACCCAACGTCGGGAAAATTGGGACCTGCTAGAAAGTCGTAAAGTGTGGCTGTTAAGGGGTTTTCCGGGGTGCTGATCACGAATACCTATCGTGTTAGTTTTGATCACAGATGATGTCTTCATGATGGCGCTGTTTCATACGGCTTTGAATTACTGCGATTTTTGATGTTTTTTTTTTGCACCACTGATAGTTGCACATTTTTTGCGTTTTCCAAGAGGGGCAGAAGTAATATTGATGAGGTGCATCTTCAAAACCTCTGCAACATTCATTACGTGACTATTGGCAACGCTTTTGTTCAGAAACTGACAACTGAGACCAATTCAATTCATTATATAGGTCACAAAAGCAACGGCGAAACATCTTTGCTTTCCCACGCGATCGGCGTGACTGGTCGTGGGAAAAGTTCCGAATTGACATCGTCTCGTTAATGTGGACACCTACATTTGTAGGAGTTCATCTCCCTTCATGGTGTGACCGCCTGTGATCGGTATTGATAAGCTAAATATATTGGATAATACAACAACCGATGACCGAAAGCATCCTGCATCACATTGCTCAACCGTAACTCTTCATGTCCATAGATGCTAATGTTATGCTTGCAGTAGTATGTTGGGGTATAGTAAGAAGCTATTTGCGTGCTAGCTGAAGGTGCTAAGCGCTAAGGTGCTAAACAAGTAACACCTCCTGAGGTCTGGTTTTTTACCCTAGCACCCTCAGTGTGCTAAAAATACACCCTCCAGGGTACTAATTTTTAATCACCCTTCGGGTCTTAGATATGAGGTAATTAAAAAGCATCTTGTTAGCCCCATACAGGAGCCATGGTCCTACGATTTTTATGGTGCTAAAAAATAGCACCCTTAGTCTGCTTAACATAAGCCGGTGGGTGGTGCTCGTTTTTTACCATGGTACTTAAGTGCATTTAGCTGCTTGGTGGTGCTTAACTTTTTTACAGTGCAGGGGTTCATCGGAATAGGTGCTAATCCTAAGCACCTTAATAGCAGTTGTTTAGCACAAAAAGTGCTTATCTTTTTACAGTGTTTCAGTGTAGCACAACGTTAGCACCTAACGAGCTAATTAGCAGATATTAAGCACCATATATTGATATTTCCAAAATCATTAAATGGGGTGCTAGTATGCAGCACCTTCATTAGTATAAGGTGCTATAATTAATCACGCTATTTTATAACGGGAGCTTAAAACAAGCATCCATTTATCGAAGCATGCTATATACAGCATGTGATGGTATATTTTAGCATCTGCTTTAGAAAATGCTGCTTATTTTAATCATCAAAAAATCTTAGTATCTGAATAGCACCCTAGCAGCATCGGTTGAGTGAGTGAGTGAGTGACTCAGGCGAAGTAAGTATACGTTAAACAACATACTGAAGATCAGTTTGAAGAAAAAAAAGTAGCATCGGTTTAGCGCAAAGGGAGCTAAACTTTTTTTTACAGTGTACGTTGGTTCAGCCTACACTGTAAAGAAGCTGAGTACCTCCAAGCAGCTAAATGCACTTTAGCACCATGGTCAAAAACGAGCACCACCCACCGGCTTAAATTAAGCAGACTAAGAGGGTGCTATTTGAGTTGTTTATTTTTAGCACCATAAACATCGTAGCACCATGGCTACTGTATGGGGCTAACAAGATGCTTTTTAATTAGTGCCTCATATCTAAGACCCGAGGGGTGATAAAAAATTAGGGTATTTTTTACCTGGAGGGTGTATTTTTTTAGCACACTGAGGGTGCTAGGGTCAAAAACAAGCCCTCAGAAGGTGCTACTTGTTTAGCACCTTAGCGCTTAGCACCTTCAGCTAGCACGCAAATAGCTTCATGCTATACCCCAACATACTAGTGCAAGCATAACATTAGCATCTATGGACATGAAGAGTCACGGTCGAGCAGTCATTACGCAGGATGCTTTGGGTCATCGGTTGTTGTTTTATCCAATATATATATATATATATATATATATATATATATATATATATATATATATATATATATATATATATATATATATATATAGTTTATCATTACCGATCACAGGTGGTCACACCATGGAGATGAGCTCCTACAAATGTAGGCGTCCACATTTTCCAAACGATGTCAATACGATACTTTTCCCACCACCAGTCACGCCGATCGCGTGGGAAAGCAACGATGTTTCGCCGTTGCTTTTGTGACCTACATATATAATGAATTGAATTGGTTTCAGTTGTCAGTTTCGGAACAAAAGCGTTGCCAATAGTCACGTGATGAATGTTGCAGAGGTTTTGAAGATGCATCTTATTTAAATTACTTCTGCCCCTCTTGGAAAACGTAAAAAAAAAATGTGCAACTATATCAGTGGTGCAAAAAAAAACATCAAAAATCGCAGTAATTCAAAGCCGTATGAAACAGCGCCATCTGTGTGTGACGTTTGAAGCTTCAGTGCCCTGGTTGTACGCCAGGGTTCTATCGGAATAGGTGCTAATCCTAAGCACCTTAATAGCAGTTGTTTAGCACCAAAAGTGCTAATCTTTTTACAGTGTTTCAGTGTAGCACAACGTTAGCACCTAAGGAGCTAATTAGCAGATGTTTAGCACCATGTATTGATGTTTCCAAGATAATGAAATGGGGTGCTAGTATGCAACACCTTCATTATTATAAGGTGCTATAATTAATTATGCTATTTTATAACGGGAGCTTAAACCAAGCATCCATTTATCGTAGCATGCTTATATCAAGCATGTGATGCTATATTTTAGCATCCGCTTTATAAAATGCTGCTTATTTTAAGCATCATAAATTCTTAGCATCTGAATACCACCCTAGTAGCACCGGTTTAGCGCAAAGGGAGCTAAACTTTTTTTACAGTGTATACGCTGGACCTATACGCTCACGGCTGACAAATACCAATGCGGGCGAGGGTTAATTAAATGCGTTCTTTCTGATGTACAACCACATTTGCCAGCCCAATCAAATAAGTACACATGTCATTTGATGCGCATTGACATGCACCACAGCTTAGTCACTCGCGGCTCGCAAACAGGCCACAGAGACTAACGAGTCGAAGTCAAACATGTTACCTGCACTAGCTTCTTATTCATGACACAGAGGAACTTCATAAAGGCCGGGTTGTCGGCACAGCGCGCCGAGAGCGCCCCTTTGCTGAGAGGCACGCCGGGGTCCTGGAGCGGCTGCAGCCAGTGCCATCTGTCGGTCTCGTCTTGTATTTGAAGTAGCTGCACCGCTCGCGCGAAGATGTTTGTGTCGTGGTACGGAAAGATGCAGCGGAGCAGAGCATTCACGTTGAATTCTTGAATGTGGAATCTGTAGACGAAGCAAAGTATCAAGCCGAACATAGTAATGGGTTGCTGACGATCTGAGACAGCCAGAATACAGAAGGCAAAAAAGACCATAAACAAGCAAGTGCATTGTGAATGTACAAAGGCACTATTCAATGAAAACAGATGCAGACATCAGCAAACCAGACGAACAATGGAGAGGACTGATGAAACTCCGTGATTGCAATAAGCATGCAGGAGAAATTCCTAGGTCAAGGCAGGTATGACTACACACCTGTAAATGAGCCACTCCATGGCCTTTTGGGCTGGTTTCAGCAGAAAATAAGGACAGAGAAGGCACAGAAATTCATCAATCACTTGATCCAGTTTATCGTTGACATCTTGAGTCTGTATGGCGCGCTCCATGGTCTTGGCATTTTCCGAGAACAAAGTGTCTTGGAACTTAATGAAATCTGGGTTTAAATTCACGAGGTCTTCAAAGCCATCGACACCTGGAAAAAAGCCAGGGTGCTAGTCAAGTTCTACACAGGGATAAAATAAGACTTGATTGACGTCTTAGCAGTTTTTGTCCAAATCCAGCTCAGGCCCCGGTTCTTATAGCCCTACTTACAAGGTCACTTAGCCAAGTGACACTTGAAATTGACGATTTTGTTCTTATAGCCACATCATGGCCAAATTAAAAGTCGCACTAAGCAAGTGACACTTGTAACTTGTAAGTGTTAGTGAGAACTCCTTTGTCGATTCTTATAGCCATTCTAACATCGAGCTGCACTAACCCGGAAAGTGAGACTCATTATTATAGCTATAGGGTCATTCCACGTCAAATCGATCACGCATGTACACGACCCCCTTCGATTTTGATGAATTTTGGTAGGCTCTTAGGCGCACCTAAAAACACAAACATATCCAGCAAGTTTAGACCTGGGTGACGTCTAAGGTCAAAGTTATAGGTCATGAAAGGTCAACGGTTTTTGCCGACATGGCAGGTTTGAAATGCCCATTGCTCTATAATTAGCCCGCGCACTAGAGATGTCAATCGGATACCAACTTTTTGGTATACCGATACCAAACCGATACCAACTCGGTATTTGGTATTTCAATCCTAATGTGTTTGGTATTTTGTTGGTATCATGAACCCTCGCTAATGTTTAAGAGGCTAAGAAATCGGTAAAAAATTGGTATTTTCCTCATGTTCCCAAGTTGTTTAAGTTTCTCAGTGCTTGTGCGAGGATCATATTAAAGCATTTTGATTAATGATTAATGACCTTACCCTCGTAGTTTGAAAAAGTTAGATCAAAACACTTGTTTATTAATAATTTCGAGCACAGCTCTTCATCAGAATACAAAGCTAAAAATGTCACGATAAAAATCCAATCTTAATCTAAGATTGGATTTTTATCGTGACATTTTTAGCTTTGTATTCTGATGAAGAGCTGTGCTCGAAATTATTAATAAACAAGTGTTTGATCTAACTTTTTCAAACTACGAGGGTAAGGTCATTAATCATTAATCAAAATGTTCCCAAGTTGGTTTGGTTTCGTTATTTTCCCGTGGTTTTGGTTGGTATTTGGTTTGGTATCGGTATTCCGATTTTCCGTAATTGACATCACTACCGCGCTGACTGACGCTGACCTCATCAATTTTACACATGGTATGCAGGTTTGAACCTCCCGCCTCTCAAGGTCAGGTCACCAAATGACAGAAAATCAACGATATCTGATGACGATTGATGACGTTTTCGTCATTGTAGTGCAAAAGTTTCATCCCTGTAGTGAAAACTTCTAACCCAAGAAACTAGTTACTATCCAAGCTTGTAGTTATATAAGTGTTGGTTTTAACAGCTAATTCACCCTTATTTTCTACAAAACACTGAAAATAAATCCCTCTACACGCAACTTGAAATGAAAATCACTTAAACATAATGAGAAGACCAAAAACCTATTTTTATTACACATCTTCACAAGCTAAGAATGTCTTCTTTATGCCAGAATGGGTATAGCGTATGAACACAGGGACAGGCCCCACAGCTCGCAATACCTAAGAATTCATGTTCTCTTATCAGGCATATCGTTCGGAAGCTGTGTAAATGCCGACGCAGTGTTAAAATGGGCCAAACAGCTATTCATCAACTGGGCATTTCACCGGGCTGAAACGCATCGATGTCCCCTGATTTTTCATATTATAATGCATTCAATAGGAACAATGAACATGCGATGACTCTCATTCATTTCGCGCAATAAAAAGCATAGGTTCTCAAGTCAAAGTGAAGGAAAAGACCGATCAAAATGACTCGTATAATACAGACTTTGTTTAAATACTCTACACTTTTAGGGGCTAGTACTGTTATGGTGTCCTCTATTTTTGAATATTTTCATACCGGTTCTGTCACATTGCATTCAGTTAGCGATCATACATGCAATAAAACAGTGGGTTCTCGAGAGTAAAGTTACGGAATAGAGTGAATGCTGATACGATGTTCAGCATGTTGGAGCGCAGTTGGATCGAAGAGCACTTTCATCGGGCTGTGGCACATCGATGTCCTCTGATTTTGAATATTTTCACGCATTTTATAAGAAAATACGACTATTTTCTTTCATTAAATGCAATAAAAAACATGGGTTCTCGAGTCTATGTCATTCATAGGACCGATCAAAATGGGTTATGTTTTAGGGACGTTGTCAAAATACCCTACACTTTTTAGGAGCCGGTGGTGTTATGATGTCCTCTGTTTTTGAATATTTTCATACCGGTTCTGTCACAATGCATTCAGTAAGCGACCATACATGCAATAAAAACAGTGGGTTCTCGAGAGTAACGTTACGGAATAAGAGTGAGTGCTGATACGATTTTCAGCATGTTAGAGCGCAGTTAGATCGAGTAGGACTTTCATCGGGCTGTGGCACATCAATGTCCTCTGATTTTGTGTGTACCAAGGCATTCTGTAAGAGACTGGGATTATTTACCTTCATTTAGTGAAATAAAAAACGTGGGTTTTCATGTCTAAGTCAATTAAAAAATCCATTATGACGGGGCATGGAAGACGATGATGTAGGCTGAGGATAACGTTCAATCAGTTCAATGATTTAGGGAATAGGGAGTGACGTTTTATGACGTTTTATTACGTCATACTGCAGCGTGAGTATCTACATAGCCCACTTCCAGCTGAAGAAAAGTTGTTACATGAGTTTGCATTATGCATTGGTGAAGTGTCTTCACTTCTTATTTATTACACTATGCCAAAACGTTTAGCCGTCAAAAAGCAATCGACCGAAATGGATAGATAACCCAACCGACACAAGAACAACCGAACACCCGCCGATCGAAAATATCCCTTTTCGAGTTGCGGAGCACGCGGGTCACCCTAGTCCTATTCCGTTTGTGATGCGAATTATCGGCCGTCGAGGAGTCAGCCCGGGTGAGCCAAACAAGATCCGTTTGACGTACATAGATAAAACGAATTAGTCTCATGTAACCGGTGCCGTAGATACGTTTGTGGGGAGCTGATGCGCATTAGCGTAGTGCGTATTTGGAACGGATCGCTCATGTAACCCCGGTAAAGGAGTCAGCCCGGGTGAGCCAAACAAGATCCGTTTGACGTAGATAAAACGAATTAGTCTCATGTAACCGGTGCCGTAGATACGTTTGTGGGGAGCTGATGCGCATTAGCGTAGTGCGTATTTGGAACGGATCGCTCATGTAACCCCGGTACAATTGTTATGGGCGCCTACAATTTGTATATCTCGGATTTTTTATATCCGTGACCTAAGGTCAGGTCAGTGGCGTGACCTTTCCATTACAAGTCAATGGAGAAAAATGAAAATGCCTCTAGATCCGTGTGTACGCATCGGAACAGTCCAAATATTTCAGAATCACAATGATTTAGTCCACTCGTGATGACCAAGGTGTCATTTTTGCTGATAGCCTCTAGACAGGTCATCCGAGGTCACTTGAGGCTACAAACAGTTTTTTGCCAATAACTCGCGATTGGAAAGAAATAGAACGCTGGGGATGGTCTCATTGTGTTTGTCTTGTTGTGAAACATCGATTGATATGCAACATGACCTTTTCCGGTAGGTTCATGACCTTGACCTGAGGTCAAATTTTCAAGTTGACCTTTCAAGGTCAAATTATAGTTCATTCGACGCGTCTCGGCGAGGGGAACACGATTCTGGCAATAGAAATGTCGTGGCTTTTTGTAGTCGAAAGTTATTGTCGAAAAACACTTTTCGTAAAAACAGCTATTTTTGGAGTTTTTGCCCTCTGGAGGCTAAACCGTTGACCTGAGGTCAATATTGATAATGACCTTTTCAAAAGAAGAGTGTAAAAGCTATCGTTTGCTGTTCCATGCGTTTTTCTAGCTACCATAGTTCCTGAGATAGCGGCATGTTTTCTGAAAAATATAATGACAATTGGCAAATTTTGACCTTTGATGACCTCTGGTGACCCCAATATTGCTCTAAGGTGAAAAATGACTGAAATACTTTCAAACGTACGCATTGAGAGCTAACGACTGCTTTTTACCGCGTCTTTCTAGCCCTCTTAGTTTTTGAGTTAGAGGTGGGTGGTAACATACATATGCCCCCCCCCCCCCCCCCACTAGGGCGAAGTTGGCCGAGACCGGCACTGGGGCGCGGGTTAATACACAGTGGCCTATGGAGAATGGCACGCGGGATTGAAGGTCAGTGTTTTATTGCTTCGTACATGCGAATGGGGGTATTTGAGTGGCATTTGACACCATTTTCGAAATCTACAGTGAATTTCTGATCGACTCATGTATATATTTTTATGAATTTGACAGTATTAGTGCTACATAGTCGGTGTTTTATGTTGGTGTTGTTTCTCTCGGCCTTTGTCTTGGACTTTAATCATATTTTTTCTCGAAAATGCCTGCCACCAGGTCTATACTGTATCTGTATAAAGGGAATATGTGTTGAATATGAGGAGAAAGTAGTAATGACCATTCTGCGTATCAAACTGCCAGAAGGTGTGTTTGTAAGGCAGGGTTGTTACGAGCAAAAACCCAACCCACTGGGTTTTTGGGTTTTTGGGTGGGTAATTGAAAGCAAAAACCCAGGGTGGGTTTTTGCCTCGCTGCTCTCGGCGGAGGCTGCCGGGCGCGCTTCGTGTTATAAACGCCCTGCAACATAAGGCGCGAGATGCAGCGGGCCGCCGGCTAGGCTGGGGCAGGGGGGGGGACAAAGTTTAGTTCATACCAGTCTGGCTGCTCCCGTACCTACGTCGCCAAACCAAGAGAACACCCGAGGGCATTTACGTGCTGAAGATCGGGAACATCCGCGATATTCAAGAACGCCTGTGGCCTGATCTGCGCATAGCTTCGTGGAAAACTGGACACCGATACATTCATCAATGTCTCCTGTAGCGATTTCCGTGTCCAAAATATGCATAAGTAGTCAAAATTTCGGATGGCAGGGCAAGAAAGGCGACTCTGAAACTCGGTTAACAAGAGCGTTTATACTGTGGTTTCGGCGGC